TTTAATATCATATTTTTAAATAATAAAAAATTAATTATTTAAATAATATATAAAATTATATTAAAAATAATACAAAAATATTATTAGTAAATTCTTTTAAGTAAAATTATATGAAAAAATTATCAAAAAAATAAGTTAAAGGTCCTCTACAGCGCCATACTACAATGATACCACGTAGGATGTGTCCCAAACCAATTATAAGCTGACACGTAGTTATGTTGTGGGCCACAAAACACTCAACGTAACGTCCGTTTGCTTGCCTTCATCCTTCTCCTTTGTAGGTTCCACCTGCACAAAGATACTTGCAGGCCTTCTTAATCTCTGTTTTCCAAGCCTAATACATCAAATTAGTTTGTAAATCCATCTGCCCACTCCATCAATTTCTCTCTAAATCTTCATTCTAGGCAAGTAGAAGATGCATAAAACTTGGGTAATTAAATTGGTACGGATGGTTTGGGGTCATCATGAGGTGAAAATCATTTTTATGCTAACTTTATGTAACTGCACCAAACCAGAAGTCCTCCTTCAGTTCGCGTCTGCACTCCGGATTGACCTGCAAAGCCCCGAGGTGGATCCTCGGGGTAGACACTCTGATGCAGTCAGCAATAATCGGGGCTACCTTTAGAGCGGAGATGAAAGGAGCTTATTGTTGGTTTTCATTACCCTTTTCGTCGTGGCCCTTGGGGGGGGTATTTATAGGTTTCAATGAGGAACCCACGTGGCATGCCAAGCAAGATATTTGAGATCTGATGTGTATCTCCAGCTGGCAAGATATTCGAGATCTGATGTGTATCTCCAAACGGTTAATTCGGGACGGGGAATTTGAGAGATATTCAGATGCAAGGATGTCCATCGTGACTGCTGCGTAGCTTATTATAAAGGATCAGATACAGGCATGCCTACTGTTGTTGTCATGCAACTGTTTGAGCAGGAACCTTTGGATTTATCCTTCACTTTAATCATAAAGAAATTACTGTCGTTCGTCCGAGGTTGAGCACCTCAGACCTGCCCTTACACTATTCCCCCCCCCCCCCCGAAGTCATTCACTTGTGAATGATGTTGTTGGAGATAGTGGGGGAAATGCATAAATAGAAATGAAAGAGGATACAAATATGATATATGAGTTACAAAAGTAAAAATGGAAATAAAAAACAAAAATATGTACCACTAAGGTATGCATAGCCGTAGCCGTAGCTAACAGTGAAATACGTGATAGGGGGTCATGTTGGCCATGCCCAAAAATAAAATAAAAGGTAACCGGATTGCTCGTGGTCGAGGCCGTGGTAAAAGAATGACCGGAGTCAATGTAGGAAAGTAGTAACATATAGTAAAAATGAATGACCGGAGTCATCGTGACCGGAGTCATAGCAAAATATGTGAGACGGGGTCGCTGTGGCGATACTCGAAGTGAAATGTGTGACACTGGGTCACTGTGGCCGGAGTTGAAGTAAAACATGTGACACTGGGTCATTGAGGCCGGAGCCGAAGTAAAAACATGTGACATTGGGTCATTGTGGCTGTAGCCAAAGTAAAACATGTGACTGAAAGCATCAGGTCAAGTGCCGAAGTAAAATACTTGTGCAAAATTTAAAATGGATAAAAGTGAGCAAGAGTGTTGAAATGGGCTTAAGTGGGCCCATTTGAGAAGTCTGACAAAGAGGTGGTGCGCGACGCGACAACTGTCCTCTGAATGACGTGCGTAATAAATGCCGCTGTAAAAAGATAAATGTAATAGCCCAACGGGCAGATGTAAAAAAATGAAGCGTCAAGTTCGAAACGGTACCGTTTGGGGTTAACTGTCGAATTCGAAACGGTGTCTTTGCAGCCGTTAGATGGGTTAATTACAGCCGTTGAGGCGTATTTTGCCTTTGGTATAAAAGGCTAGACTT